AGCAGGCTGTAACGTAAGTCTCGCTGCATCCAGGTAACTGCACAAACGCAGAGAGAGTTTTCAGCCGCTTACAGGGAGTCTCTAATCCATGAGGATGCTAGTACAACATCCTGTTGATTCCCTAATGAATTTTGACCCAATCCCAGGTGTGGATAAGCTGCAAACTCTTCCCATAGTAGGAACACCAGATGAATAGTCAAATTTCAGAGAACTGCATATTTTCCAGGCCATCCTTTGTAGGTCACCAGCCCACCACATTCATAGATGTGCTGCTCAATCGCCATTAGCTTGAAAACCCCTCTGGCACACATGGCTGGCTTGATGCTGGTAGCTTAGAACAGAATGTCCTTTTGCCATTCAGGAACCTCCAGGATTGTAACACCCTCGAGAATGTGAAATGCCTGAAAGGACTGAGAAACCATAGGTAGTAAGCTACGGCAACTGTCCTCCTTCACGAGGCTAAAATGGTCTGCAATTTTTAAACATTTATCATTTGTAGATTTCACCTTACCATTATGTGTGCTCGTTTTACACTCTGGTTAACTTTCATTTGTGTCCATGGAGCATCTGGGAACTTAACTGTTGCTCTGAGAGTATACTGAGACCGAGTTTCACAAAAGATCTCTTTTGGACCTTGAGATTCCAAAGGCACTTTTTCTGATGCTATACTGAACCTTTTTTGAAGCATGGAGCTAGTGATGTACTGTCTGTCTTCAGACCCCTTCACCTCAGCAGTCCAGCAGAAGCCTGGGTTTCACATTGTTATGGAGCAATCAAAGAGGAAGCATGTCCGTGACGACCTTACAGTGGACATCCTGGACATGGCCAACAAGTAGCTACCAAAGGGAGAAGGATTCACAGCAAGTGGAAAGGCACAGAGGCTGGAGAATATGATGAGAGACTTGCTGTGCAGATTCTGGAGCAGGGAAATTATTTGAGAGGGGGAAGATAGAGTGCAGCAGAAAGATCTGTTTGAGAGGCTGCTTGCACTAATGGCAACAAGAGGCTAGGCTCCTACTCCACTTTTTTATGGTTGGTTTTGGTGTTTTCATGGCCACTGGCCTGCCTGTCAATTCTTTAATACCGTTCTTTGTAATACAGACATCTTAAAAAATAAAGGATTTTGTTTCATTAAGGTTTCAGAGGAACAGCCGTGTTAGTCTGTATTCGCAAAAAGAAAAGGAGTACTTGTGGCACCTTAGAGACTAACCAATTTATTTGAGCATGAGCTTTCGTGAGCTACAGCTCTGATGAAGTGAGCTGTAGCTCACGAAAGCTCATGCTCAAATAAATTGGTTAGTCTCTAAGGTGCCACAAGTACTCCTTTTCTTTTTGTTTCATTAAGAAAATTTATGACCGTCACTGCTTCACATCGTGTGTGTGTGTGTGTATCGCAAAGAATAATGATGGACATGAGAAGGCATACTTGGAAAGTTGTATTCAAACAATTTTTCAGTATATCTTTTGAGATTAATCCATAATGAAAATCCAGTTCACAACACACAAACCCCCATTTCCCTCCACTGCATAGGCGGTCATTTCATTCATAAGTAAAATTTCATGACAATCACATCCCCATCCACTCATAGTATACAGCAATACTACATCATTTACTATTGACAATGCTGTATAAATACTTTTCTCCCTCTTCCATTGGTCCATGCTAGTCCATAATGTGGGCACACAAAGAATCCCTGATTTCTGTTGCACATGGTGCATCCTGCTCTATTTGTGACATGTGTACTTTCCCTCTGACTGTACCAGTTCAGCAATCCACTGCTGTCGTAGGTCCACTCAAGTGCAAATGACTCTTCTTCAGCTTTACAAAGATTGTGAAGAGCACAGCTAACCACAATAACGTGGACAGCACTGGTGACATGGGAATCCAAATGTTTCTGTAAACAGCGCCAGAGGGATTCCAATTTGCCAAATGCACTGCCACCATTCTGTACCTACTGAGAGTATAATTAAACTGTCTTTTGCCAGGGCCTCTGAGATCAGGATACAGTTTCATAAGCCAAGGCAAAAGTGGTTATGTGTGGTCTCCTAGAGTAACATTTATGACAGTGTCAATTGATGGGACTAGCATCCTGTCCTGTCCATGAAGGCAGACTCCTGACTGGTGGAAAACACGGGCATCATGAACTTTTCCAGTGCAGCACATGTTGGTGTCCATAAATTGGCTGCTGTGGCTGACCAGAGCCTGCATAACAATGGAGTAGTACCCTTTGAAGTCTATGTATTGCAGTCCTTGAAAAGGGCAAACTATGGGCATATGAGTCCCATCAATGGCCCTGGCACAGTTGGGAAACCCCATTCTTCCAAAACTGGCCATTACTTCAAGAACTTTGTTTATGCCCATCACCTTTTTGAGTAAATCACACTACTGATCACCTCAAACCTCCGCAACCGCAGCACCCAGAGTCGACTTGCCAACATCAAACTGGTTGGCAATGGGCCTGAAGCAGTTAGGAGTGGCCAGCTTCTAGACGGTCATAGCAACCCACTTCTGGACCAGCCTGGTTACCATCATGCATATGTCCTGACAGTGCAGGGTCAGGGCAAGCTACTCACAAACCTCCAGAAAAATGGCTTTGTTCGTGTGAAAGTTTTGGACCCACTGCTACTCATACCACATCCACATGCCTATGTGATCCCACCAGTCTCCAGTTGTGGCCCTGCTTCAGAAGTGCCAGTCTACACAAGGCCCATTAGTGGCTATACAGAGAGTCAGAGCAGCATTATCCAGTTGAAGTCTGCTACGTCTGTATTGTTCTCCTCCTCCGGGTGCTTTTGATAGGTCAGAAAAGGCCACAGAAACATTCACCAGCATCTCATGGATGCTCTGCCCGTTTCCAGGCATGGGAATGAAGCCTAAGCAGGACAAGTTCTTCAACAGTGACTTCTCCATGTTGCTGGCTCTGGCTGCCAGGAGCATGCAGACACAAAATACAGCTTGGAAGGATGAGTTGGAAGGCTTAGACAACTTCCAGTAAAGTACCAGGAGATGCCAAGTTTTCCCACAGTGCACCACAAACAGAAGGGCTAGAGAGGCTGCAGGTGGGAAGAGCAGTAGGAAGCCTAAGATAGGCTGGTTTGACTTGAGTCTGTGTACTGCAATGTGGACACGTGAGCAGGGGTCAGAGACGCAGGTCCAGAAATTCCAAATCTATGGTCAATATTCAGTGCCTGAGCGTTTGAGTCCACCGACCCAGGATTACATTGCAATGTACCCTTACCCCAAGTGGCTTGCCTAAGGAAGGACACAGGAAGTCTGTGGTAGAGCAGAGAACTGTAGCTGGATCTCTCAAGTACCAGGCTAGCACCCTAATTACTGGACTGTCCTTCCTCCTTGCTGCCTGGCGCAAATCTATTTTGCCAGATGCACAGTATTAAGATGAAGAATTTCAGAGAGAGCTTGACCCAAGCAAAGGTTCCATGTCATGGTAAACTTTGAGGACAAAGACTAAAAATGGAAAACTGGAGAGAGATTAGGGGAGAAAGCGCACACTTTCCCCTCCACAAAAAAACTAAATGGTTTCTAAGCACTCCTTAGAACTTAAGGCACTACTATATTTGTGCTGTTCTGTTTTAGGTTTAAAGCAAGATTGAACTTTAAAAAAGCCCATGAGTAAGAATTTTTAAACAAAACATGCTGCAACACTACGTTCAGAATGTTACTTTGTTTCACTGAAGGAAAAAAAAAAAAAAAAGTTATGCCACTTCTTTGAGCACTGAAATTCTTGGTATCCCTGTGCCTGTCATGTTATTTGGGGTATGTGGGACAGAACATCTCACAAAAATGTCCAGTGATCTTCCAAGCTGTCAGCTTTCATTTTTCTTCTGTACTGTAAGTCATCATAGCAAATTAGCATGGGGTATTTTTCCACTAATTCTTTCCACAAACATACTTGTTACACTGACACATTATATACATAGCATATGGATCTCTGTGGCAATAAGAAGCACTTAATAGCTCTAATGATCATACAACATTGTAGTCAGTCCTGACTCAGAGTTTACTTCTAGACAAAATTCAAAGTGTTCATTTTAAACTATATAGCTTTGGCTCCAACTACCTCAGTATCACCTCCCTCACAATGGATTATCATAGACATGATTCAAGGTATGAATAAAATGGCAGCAATCTCCTAGACTCTACGTCCAACCTATCCTGAAGTATCCTTTTCAAGTAGATTGCACAGATCTTCATAATATGATCAGTCTTCTTTAATGTATGCTTTGATCAGCAGTACAGCATTACCAATTATTTGACTCTTAAATTACCATAATTATGCTTCAGAGTTAACACTCCATCAAAATAAAGAGGAGCTGCTCAGAACCATTGTTGTAGCCCATGTGCAAATTCAGGCAGACTTTGCTTCACCAATTTACAATATCTTAAAGGTTAATTTTACAAAAATACAGGCAAAGCCTTAATTCCTCACTTCCTCCCCACAAAAAAGAATTTAGATTGTAGCATAGGATAGTAGACATAACAGAAAAGTACTAATTCGTAAGTCACCACAAGCCTGCTTAAACCAACCCCAAATGAATGCAGTTGAAATGGTCACACATTTGTTAGTAGCCATTATTCAACAAAATCTCTCTACCTTTCAACTGCTCAAGCAGTTTTTCTCTTGAACACTCTCAGCTATGCCCTTAACCCCCCCCAAAAAACTATAGAAACGAGTAAATAATCAGTTTTTGAGAACCCAGTAGAAGTATAAAACAAACTTTCTGTCCTTACTGATTTTTACCTTCATATAGACACTGGTTTGGTATTGCAGGGTTGCTCAGGAATACAGCATTATTAGTATCTACTTACTCTTTAAGAAAATTAAAATTTGTTTTTAAGCCATACAGAATTACTAATAAATAATGCAAGTTATGTTTTACAAACTTATCACTTGTTTTTATAAGGCTTTTGTAATTGTTCCAGAAACAGATTTCTAAAACAGAATTACTACTTTCAGCATACCATGAGATAAGCACTTTACCTGCCGCTTCTCTGAAGTGCAAACAAAATGCCTTTCTTCTGAAAAGGAAGCAATCTTTCCCTTAGTTTTTCAGGTAGGAAGGATAGCTTAGTATCAGCATCTTCAGAACAAGAAGTTCCAGCTGTAGAAGTTTCTTGGATTATGTTTGACATGTTGGCCCTGCAAGAAACAAACAAGAGGTTAGGAATTGGGTACTGAATACTCTAATACAATACAAGTTATAGCTATATGTAGCAATAATTAATGGTCCTATCACGAAATGATTAACTGCTAAATGATATAGATGTTGATTTGTACTACTTTCTCAACAGGTATTAGTTTAGACAATTAACTCTTGGTTTGCAGTTCAAGCTTTCTCATCATTTAACTAAGAAGGCTGGTTTAGAACATGTTGAATGATGCATTTATCAGATAAACATGATATTTATCAGATGCATTTAGTTACCCTTTGCCTGTGACTTAAACGTGATAAGACTAAACACAAAATCAAGGATTAACAAAAAGTTAAATTGAAACAAAGGGCACATATATTCCTAAAAAGTTTACCACCAACTTGGGCATAAGATCAGATCAGCTCTAGTTTACTTAACCCATACTGTCCTCCTGCCCCTCATAAAACCCACGTGATAACTCAAAGAAAAACAATGAACCCTAAGACTAAATGAAAAAAGCTCTTATCCTTTGTATCACAGACTAACATCTTAAGAATTTCACAGATTTACAAAAAATAGATGAGTTTACAGGCAAAGTGCACAACTTTAAGAAATAAAAATCACAACCATCTACAACAGAGCATAGAAAGAACTGTTACTTACCCTACAGTAAATGTGGTTCTCTGAAATGTTTTAGTCAGCATGGATCCCACTCTCTGTGCATGAAATCAGATTCTTCTGAATAGCAATATTTGTCAGGGATGCACATGCATCCTGTGCCCCTGTGTGAGGACATGAAGGAGAGTTACAGCCATCCTGACCTTTACTTCCCTCACAATTCAAAGCCCATGATAAGAGGACTCTGAAAAGTGCAGATAGAATACAGGTCATGGGATCCACAGACAATATCTCAAAGAACCACAGTCTTCGAGGCTGTATCAGTGTTGCTCCCACCGCTGGTGACTGACAAGTAGTATCCCCTCCAAATGGTATGAGGAGGAGTCTCAGCTACATCAGTCAAAGAGATATTGCAGTACACCTCTCCCAAACTTGGCACCTGACCTGGTGGATAAGCCCCAAGGCATAATGTTTTACAAATGTCAGTGGGTACTCCATGTTGCCACCTTGCAGATCTTGGAAACTGAAACATTTCTGAAGAAGACATAGGATGTTGCTTGTGTTCTGACGTGCAGTGATGTTCAGTGGGAGAGGCACACCAGCCAACAATAGTAAAGTGAGATACACTGTATTATCCATTTCAATAGCTTCCAAGATGAGAGGACCTGACCTTAGGACTGGCCGACCACATCAGGAAAGAAGCAGGAAACAGCATGAATGGTTTGGTTCCATCAACATAATAAAAGCAAGGTCCCCAATAACATTTAGTGTGCAATTGCTTCTATCTTGGTACAGTGTGTGGTTTAGGAAAGAAGACAGGTAGATTGATTCAGAAGTCACACTGGAAATGAATTTCAGGTAAGGATTCAGCACCACCTTATTCTTATAGAATGTTGTGTGGCGAGGTTCAGCCATAAGCACCTGAAGCTCACTCATTTTTCTGTCTAAAATGACAACAACTAGGAAAACCGGTTCCAGAGTGAGATGATGTAAGCAGCACTCGGAACGAGGTTTAAAGGGAGGCTCTGTGAGCCCCTGCAGGATTAAGTTGAGGTCCCAGGCAAGTAAGAGTCCTTTGAAAAACCTCTATGCCATCAAGTGAGAAAAAACTGAACACAATTGCACCAGGATGACAAGCCAAGATTGCGGTGAGGCTGACCCTGAAATCAATAAGTGTTTGAGGATCTTTGGTATTGATGTCTGCTCTGGGTCTAGCCCAGGCTGGGCTGCCCATATCAAGAACTTTTTCTTTCTAGCGGAAGTTTTCCTGCTCTTAATATTTTCCAGACCTAACAGTCTCTATCCGTGGTGCTTAACCAGCCAAAAGCCACAATACCAGTTGCAGTGACTTAAGGTCTGGATGCAGTATCTGACCGTGGTGCTGCAAGACGATATTGCTCAGATCTGAGAGAGGGATAAGCAGTTCAAAGGATGTGCAGCAGGTCTGTCTCTCAAAATTTCCATGGCCTGTAGAAAGCAATGAGAATGATCTTGGCTCTGTCTCATTTGATCTTGGAAATCACCCTGAGGATCAGGGGAATTGGTCAAAAGGCCGGAAGAGGCCTTAGGACCACTGCAGAAGGAAAATAAATGGTAGCAATCCTGGACTCCTGTAGTACAGGGGGCACAGGATTCTGGCACTTGGTATTGACAGCAGTGGCAAAAAGGTTTATTATCAGAAGTCCCCTGCAAAGGAATATCTACTCTACTATGGACCTCTGCAGGAACCATTTGTGACTGGCAACCAGTTGCCTGCTCAGGAAGTCCACCAAGTTGTTACTGACCCCTCAGAGTAGAACAAGCATTGGATTATCCCATGTCAGAGGCACCATATCCAGAGCTCAATAGTCTCCAGGCAGAGGGGACACGAACATACACCTCCTTGCTAGTTTATGTAGTACATTCTGGAAATGTTGTCCACTGGGATCTGCACTGTGGAGTTTTGGAGAACCATTAGAAAGGTCATGCAGGCTTCCAGGACGCTGATGTGGAGTTGCAAGTGGGCTCCACCACCTGTCCTTGAAACATTTATGATTAAAGTAATTGCTGGAGAAAGGGGTAGGAACAATATCCCACCATATATGTTCTTGTGTTCCCACCACCATCTCTGTTCTGACAGGACACAAAATAGGACCACGGCTGTTATTCATTCTGTGAACAGTCAGATCTGAGCTGGAGTTGCAGGGGCTGCAAGTTAAGTCTGACAAGCAGAATCTCGTACGTACATGCTGACATTTTACTTAACAGTCCCAGACACATCCATACCATCGTACTTGAGTTTGGCTGTATCCCAAGTACTATCAACTGCATCAAGAATCTGTCCTCAGGAAGATAGACTTGCACATATCTGGAGTCAAAGCTCCTATGAAGTTTCATCTGTAATGGGATAAGACACAATTTTTCTTAAAACAGGAGGGCCATATGACAACAGGAAGAGGGCATATTCCAGGCTTGCCACCATTTCTTGCTGGAATATCCCATTGATCAGCCAGTCATTCAGATAGGGGGTAGACATAGATGCCCCTCATTCCGAGATCGGCATCCTGTAGAGACTTTTAATGCCGTGGAGAGTCCAAATGACATTACCTTATACTGGCAGCAACTGGGCCCCAACATGAATTCTAAGTACTTTCTGTGGACTATGTGAAGGCCATGCAGAAGTACATGTCCTGAAATACAAGAACTATAAAACAATCTTGAGCCTCTGGAAACACAATGGAGGCAATTATTACCATCTTATATCTGAAGCAGCATATGTATTTATTCAGTCTCCTCGGTCTGGGATAAGACCAAGATAGTCCCCCTTTCTTCTCTATGATAAAGAAATATCTGGGTAGAAAGCTCTGGATTATAAGTAGCTCCCCTATGGCTCCCAGACAAAACAACGAGGCCAATTCTGTTTGTGACAGGTTCTTGTGAGAAGAATAAGGGTGGGAAAGGGGGATGGTCAGGGGCAAGGAGTGGAAATTTTTAAATAGAGTAGCCATGAGCAATAACATTTAATGACAATTTTTCAGCTTCAGTAGCCAACCAGTTCCAATGGAAAGGAGTAAGGCAGTTCCCAAAAGCAGTGACTGACTGTGGATTGGATCCAGTGACCCCTGACATTCCCAAACTTGCTGCCTTAGAGAGGGTGCCAGGCACATGACTGTAGCGGCAAAAAAATGGGCAACCCCTAGAGTATCTGGCCCTTTTCCTCTGTGGGTATCAGGCTGTCAACCCTAAGTGTGGAACAGTATTCTCTGCCCCTGCTTGGGGCTGGTTCTGATATGGTTTCTGGTAGGGTTGTAAATATCGTGTAAAAAGTTAACTGTTTAAACAATTAAAATTATATGGTTTAACCAGTTAACTGAGGTCACATGTGCCATCTGTAAAATTCATATGTGGTACTCACCTTCATCAAGGACTTTGAGATCCTCTGATTGTTAGAGAGCTTATTCCTTCACTCTCCCACTTCCCTGGTCCTTCTCGCATGAACAGAGAGCAACAATACCCGAAGTCCGAAGGTGCAAACAATTCGATGTTTATTGGGGTGAACTTCCAGCAAGCTTAAATACAAGTTCCTTTTTCCTTATTTTCGAATCCCAACTTACTTCCTGTTTGCCCCTAATTTATATAGTAATATTCTTAGCTATACCTTAACCAATCATCCTACCGAAATTTAACTAACCAATCCTAACATTGTTACATGATTAGCTAACCAATTATATCCCACCACCTTAATTAGTTTACACCCAGCAAAATTAATTATACAGCAGACAGAAACAATCACAGAACCAGACAGAGACCATGCCAATAAACAATAGCAAAGTGGGAACTATAATGACAAAACAATACAGAAGTGAGGATTTCACAACAACATCTATAAAGACGTACGAGTTTCCCAGCTGTGTCTATTGACAAGTGAGTTCTTACCAGACAGAAAACTAACAACCTCAATTTCCTTTTACATCTTCTAGGCACTTCCCTTTCTCTGGAGGTGATAGGCACTATCAGGACAGGATTGTATTCCTAACAGCCCAATAGCACCTTCTTTCAATGTGACTACTTTGGAATGTGAGGATGTGACTGGTCTCTTCCCAGCTTATGGCTGCCTCTGTCACTTAGTCAAAGGCCTTAGCCTAAGAACAGGGCCTCCGACTGTCACAGTAAGAGAAGGACCTTACACTGGCAGACAGTGATTTTGATTCTTTCTTTTATACCTCTAACTAGCCAAGTGATAAGAATACACCTAAATTCTTAAAGTACAGGCCTTTACAGACAGGCCTGAATATCTATATCCTAACACTGATAAGAGCAGTGTATGATGATTGAACATATTCAATAGCAAGAAAAGATGAGAGAGTAACTTCTGAAGCATTCATATAAATAAATGTTTATTATCTGAAAATATAACTGAGTTCTGTTGGATATAAAACAAAGGTCATTTACAGGGAGAGAATTTTCAAAATTTTGGAATATTTCTCTAATTTCTCATTTGCTGAATAAGACCAAGGGAAAATTTAGAGGCCTTCTGATTCACTGAGCTTTGACAAATGAACAATGGAGAAACTCCATAATTGCTAGGGAAGGTATACGTGGGGATTAGTGATACATAGATATAAAATTACATTATTTGGAACCATGAGGTTGTACTCTTTACTAGCCTATTAAGAGAGCAGTCTGACTATATTTACCCTCATCCTCCTTTCCCACCAAATGTTTTATTCTCTTGTTACATCTTATTTTAAAATAGGCTGAAAGTTTTCAAGACAGGAACCTTGTTTTACTACGTGTTTATTATCGCACCTAGCACCATAACATCTTGATCCCGACTGTGGCCTTTTGGTGCTACCTCAAGCACAAAAAAGAAAATGCTTTGGCTAAAGCTCTCGTTGACATCTATGGTAAAATTTATAATGTTTTCTTAAAGAAACACTCAACTTAAGATGTAGTTTTAAGAAGTTAATTAAAAGTAGTTTCAAAGACCACTTTTTCTTTCTTACAAAATTGCATTTCTAATCCTGTTCTTCTCCTAGCCTGTATGTTGATTTATTAGTAGTTTTATTGATTGTATAGACATTCTTTATAAGCATTTATTTAAAAAAATTATTGTTCTTATTCCCAGATCTTTGACAATATTTCTGAATTAAGCAATGATGATGAAAAGCCCACATTCTGCAAATATGAGTTTATACTCATTTCACAACACCCAAAATTGTGCCAAGCACTTCACAGATGAGAGACAATCTCTTTGCCCCTTAAAACTTATGTAAGACAATAACTTGGATAGCTACCTACCATATCTACGCTTGTAATGTTTTTGCCCACTGGCAAAATTACTTTTTCCTAATTTTTTTCATTATTACTTTTTCCTTACTATAGGATGGAGTGCAGACACCACATAGGACTGGGATATAAGAAACCTGGGTTCTATGCTCAGCAATGCCAGTGTCCGGGTCAGCGACCTTAGACAAGTCACTTCACCACTCTGCTTCAGTTTCCCCATCAGTAAAACAGGGATACTTGACCTACCACGGGGAGGGGGGGACCTAGGCTTCAGTCCTGGGGTGGTTGGGCAGCAGGCTTGGGCAGTAGGACTTAGGGAGCCTGGCTGCATGGACCAGGGCTCCAACCATGGGGATTTGGCACCAACACTTGGCTCCAGCTGTGGTATTTCAGGCACTGACCCCCCAGCTCTGGCCACGTAGCGCTGGCCTTCAGCCACACAGCTTCAGGCTCCAACCTCTGGTTGTATGCAGGTGGACTCCGATCCCTGGCTTTGTCTGCGTGGCACCAATCCTTGGTGGCAGCTGCTGATCCCCAGCCGCTCGCTCCAACCCCTAACCCTGGCCACTGACCCCAGGCGCTAGCCCTGGACGCCAACCACCAGCCCCGGCCTGGGCTCTGGCAGGTGCTGGTCCTGGGCACCAATCTCTGACCATGGGGCAGCAGGCACCAGCCCGGGCGCCGATCCCTAGTCCCGGCAGAGTGGCAGCAGGCACCAATCCCCAGCCGTCGACCTCCAGCTCTGGCTGCCAGTAGCAGGCACTGATCTCCAGTCCTGGCCGCTGACCACGGCCACCAACCCCTGGTCCTGGCTGTTTGGCAGGCACCAGACCCAAGTGCAGATCCTGGTTGCCGGCTGCACGGCAGTGGGTGCAGATCCCTGGCGGCAGGTGCTGAACTCCAGCCGGGTGGCGGCCAGCTCCAATCCCCAGCTCTGGACACTGACCCCAGGCACTGGCCATATTGCAGCAGCTGCTAGCCCCAGGCATTGATTCCCAGCCGCCACAGCTGCCAACTCCCGGTTCCGGCTGTTCAGCAGCGGGTGCGGAACCTAGGCGACAGCAGGCGCCAGACCCAGGTGCAGATCCCTGGTCCCAACCACGTGGCAGCGGGTGCAAATCCCCGGTGCTGGGCTCCGAACCATGCCGCTGGATGCCAACAGGCTCCTTACCACGGCGCTGGACGCTTATCCTGGGCACTGACCATGCAACAGTGGCCGCTGGGCCCAGGCACTGATCCCAAGCCCTGGCCACAGAGCAGCAGATTCCGACCCTGGGCTCTGGTGGGTGTTGGCCCCAGGCACCAACCCTGGCCCTGGCTGTGCAGAGACAGACGCTAGCCCTGGGCTCTAGCTGTGCAGCAGTGGGCTCTTACCCTGGGTGCCTCCCGCCAGCTCTAGCCTCACCCCATCACACCTAACCCCAGCTGCCTCTCCAAGCCTGGCATCCATCCCCTAGGGCCCTGCTGCCTCCCCTCCACTTCTCCCATCCAGGGCTTGTCCTGGGGCTTGCTGAGAAGCGATATTAAAAAACATGCATGTATCACTTTTCACAGCAGACTAACTGGCTACCTGGGAGGCTGTAAAATGTGATACTTGTATGTTTATTAATATCACTTATCACAGGCTCCCAGATAGCTATTAAATGTCCTGTGAAAAGTGATATTAACAAACACACAAATATAACTTCTCCCAGCATTATTATTATTGAGTCTGTAAAAAAATAAACGTACATAAATAAATTACAATGATTTGGATGTGTATATGTGCATATTTATTTATTTTTCCTAAAGTTAATAAAGTATTTTAGGAAAAAGTGTCAGTGCGGTCATCAGCAAGAGTTGGTGTCCACATTTTCAGGCCACCAAAATATTTGTGGTGAGAACCCCCGTCCTAGACCATTCGACTGTTTCCTGCACAGCTGTGAAGTTTAACTTCTCTCTACATGTTGGAGGGTTTCTCATTTGAAGTAGGGTTCTATAGTCAGATGCTTGCCATCCCAAATCATTTTGGGGACGGAACTAACAAATACTGTGTGGATATTAATTACTTTGAGTTGCTAGATTCCTAGACTTCTAGGTTTCTGTTGACATGACACAGTTGCAATGTTTTCTAAAGGGTCACTGGCCACTGGGTGGTCACGGATCTACATCCCTCAGATGAATCCACAAGAGAAACAGAGGTCTCAGGCGCGATTCTGAGATGAGGATCTTCCTCAAGACAAGAACAAGTCGATCTAGCCTCATGTCCCCCTACATAGATGAACTCCCACACAGCGCAATCACAGCCGCCACAGTTAAGCAAACCGCTCAATAGGGGTACAGCTTCCACCCTAGACACAACCTGGGGAGCCACGGCGAGCATCATTAAGGGGGGAAGAGAGCCAGACAGTGGTATGCGGCGTTAGACAGCCGCTGAAGCTCCACTGAACACGGCCTGCCACACACCGCAGCCCTGACCCTAGGGCGCGCTAGTCCACAGCCCGACCGGGGGCGGGGAGAAGGGAATAATCGCGGCTCCCCACCATGCAAGGCGCCGCCAGCCCCGCAATCCGTAGGGGGCCAGGAAGGAAAAAGCCGAGAGCAGCCTCGCCTCCACTGACTAACTCACACCTACCACTACTGCCGCTGCAGCAGCCGCCACCAAACTTCCCCAGAACGACGCCGGTTTCACGCGGGCTCGCTCCCGCTCAGCCCCGGCGCCGGAAGTGACCTCTGGCGGGAGCGGGAACCGCCGTGAGCCCAAACACCCCCCGCCACTGGGGGAACCCGCCAATAAGTGGCCGAGGGCGCACGAGCGGCGCTTCCGCGGGGATCCTATTGGGATCCGGGAAGTAGCTGAGACGCAGGAGGGTTGTTCTTACCCCGCGTCTCACCACGCGCTGGACCAACCGCCTCACTCATCCCTTCCCGCTGGTTGGGGAGGGCGGGTTTGTGATCGCGAGTCCTGATCCGCCTCGCTCTCGTCTCCTCCCCTTTGTCCAGAGGGTGCGCGGGAATATGAGCGGGAGGAGCAGCGCCGCGACTGGGAGTTTGAGGGACGGGGTGCGGGGCGACAGCACGCATGGGGAGGCTGTGGGAGCTACACAGGGGTGCGGTACTCCGGGGGGGGGCGGGGTGAAGCTGGGGGAGCTAAGGGGTGCGCTACTCGGGGGGGGGGGGTGAAGCTGGGGAGCTACGCAGGGTGCGCTACTCCGGGGGGCGGGGTGAAGCTGGGGAGCTACGCAGGGGTGCGCTACTCCGGGGGGGGGGTGAAGCTGGGGGAGCTACGCAGGGGCGCTACTCCGGGGGGCGGGGTGAAGCTGGGGGAGCTACGCAGGGTGCGCTACTCCGGGGGGCGGGGTGAAGCTGGGGGAGCTACGCAGGGTGCGCTACTCGGGGGGGGCGGGGTGAAGCTGGGGGAGCTACGCAGGGGTGCGCTACTCGGGGGGGGCGGGGTGAAGCTGGGGGAGCTACGCAGGGGTGCGCTACTCGGGGGGGGGCGGGGTGAAGCTGGGGAGCTACGCAGGGGTGCGCTACTCGGGGGGGGCGGGGTGAAGCTGGGGAGCTACGCAGGGGTGCGCTACTGGGGGGGCGGGGTGAAGCTGGGGGAGCTACGCAGGGGTGCGCTACTCGGGGGGGGGCGGGGTGAAGCTGGGGGAGATACGCAGCGGGCGCCACACAGTGGGGTGGGAGTTATGTAGGGGTATGTGGGAGCTATGGGGGTGTGGGAGCTATGCGGGGGGGCGCTACATAGGGGGGTGGGGGAGCGACGCGGGATGGGAGCTATGGTGGGGCGTGGGGCTGTCTGAATGGGAAGGCTCTATGGGGGGAAGGGGTAGGACGAGCTGTGTGGGAACGACTCCAGCGATTGTGGGGAGAGAGAGGCATTGCAGTTACTATAGGAGATGGGGGGAGCTGTGCTGAAGGGGTGTATGGTGCCGAGTGACGGTGCGACGAGCCCGGAGAGCAATGGGTGGGGCTGCAGAGTGCTGAGGACTGTACGGAAGGCGGCGGCGGCGGCAGCAGAACTCCTTTTCCCCTGTAAATAAGTGAGGTGGAGGATGAGGATAAGAAGCATTACTGAGGCCGGTGCTCTCCGACTGGCCAGTTGGTAAACAGGCTCCTGGGGGCAAGCAATGAGCATGATAATACAAGAGACTACAATTCCCAGGATGCCTGGCGCTGGCGAACACGGGCTGCGCTATACTTTAGGGACACGATCGCGAACTGTTGTCTTCGGAGGGTTAGGCGGATGGGGAGACGCTCGCTGCTGATGATAAGGGAGAAAGTTCCCAGCGAGCTGGTCCTTCTAGTTGGGCGCAGTGCCAGAGCTCACGGGGAAAGGGGTTATATTATCACTACGGGAACAAGTACCGACTTGATTGTCATTAGCGGTGAAAACCGTCTGTCAGCGCAACGCCGCGATTCCACTGGTTGTTGGTACCTACAGAGGTGGGGCTCTGTGTGCCTGTCCACCGGCTTCTTATTGGTAATTAGGGCCGTCATTCAGTCAAACCACCGGTTGCGATTGGCCAGAGGCCCCTTAGTGGGCGAGTTTATGCGCAAGTGGTCTGTGCACCACAGGGGCAGTTCTGGAGGCGGATGCTGGACTGTAGATGGCTACGGCTGACGTCGGTCAGCGGGATTGTGCGTTGCCGTTCGCAGGCACTGGCGGGGGGGGCGGGTCTCTGTCCCCGCCGCGGCAGTAGGAGGAACCGGAGCTGCTGTCGGGGGCTGGTGATGGGGTCAATTCTCCCTCGTGTGTGAAACTCCGTCACCGAGCCGGCCCCGTCGCCGCCCTTATCCGCCCGGCTGTGTTAGCGCCATCGCGGTAAGGAGCGCGCCTCCCTTTATAACCTTCACCCGCCGCCCTGCGAAGGGGAGGGGAGCTTGTTCCAGGGCTCCCGCGCCGCGTGAGGGGTCCGCGACGGTGTTGCCCGGCCCCAAGGGCTGCTGGAGTACTGCTCTCCTGTGGGGGAGTGGCTGGTCCCTGGGCGCAGCTGCACCCTGCAGGGGGGCCCGGCACTGGGGTGGGACCAGCTGCACCCTGGAGGGGGCGATCCCGGCACTGGGGTGGGGGGGAGCTCTATGGGGGGGTGTCCTTGCACTGCTGTGGGGGCACTGGGCGCAGCTGCGTCAGGGGGTCTGCACTGGCATGGCGGGCACGGGGGGGGGGGGTTACTGCATTGGGGTGGGGCACTGGGGCCCCTGGGGTGAGCTGCACTGGCATGTGGGCCCTTGCACTGGGGTGGGCGGCCCTGGGGGAAGCTGAGCCCGGGGTGGTTGGGAGTGGTGGCTGCATCTGGGGGGAGGCCCCTGTGTTGGGGTGTGGGCGGTAGTACCCTGGGGATCGGGGGCAGTCCGCATGCTGAGATGCCCTTAGAAGCTGGCTGTACCTAAGAATTCTTAAGGGGCTTTCAGTGTAGCTGCACTCTGGGATCCTGCACTGGGCTTGTTGTACCCCAAATATCTTTTTTACGGGCTGCATCTGTGCAGGGTGGCTTTATAATTAGATTGAGGCAGAAGCATTTGCGGAGGTGGTATCAGAAGAGAGAGAACCAGTGGAGAAACTGGTGTGACTATTACATGTTGCCCCTGTAAAGAAGTAGTGAATCTTTCACATTTCCCCAATTATAAAGGATGGGGTATGGAGCTGCTTACAAACTGTCTCCCTGATGCTAGATTAGCAAAACTGGAGTTGGCATTTAATGATGCTGGCAAGAGAAAGGAGTGTTTCCAAAGTTCTGAATGTATCTGCATATAGGTATAATAGGCTAATTCAATGTAAATGGGTCAGTGTTGGTACAAGGGGATGTGAAGCTTTTTGCTTGTTTTAAAATAAGGTAGTCCCATGTTTTATCCCATTAATCCTAACCTTAATTCCTCTGTGGTCTCATGTCTGAACCAATTCTGCATGGGTTCATGTCATATGTTTTTGCTACAAAAATAGGGTTGTGTTATGTGTTAGTGTAGCATTGGTATTTTAAAAAAAAGAAACTTTAAAGGGAGGTGAGTTGCTTGGGCAAATCATTTCTCTGCCTTTAAGTCAAGGAACTTAACTGTTGTGAGGCTTAATTAATTAAGGGCTCTTAAATTGCTTTGAAGCTCTTCAAATGAAAGGTGCTATAAAAGTGCAATGTACTGCTGGTGTAGACACAGTACTACTAATTACTTAATTGCTCAGACTTAATATATATTTAAAAATCCTGCTAAGAAACTGTACTGTGCAAATTTGCTGTATTGATTTGGGCTAACATGGGTTCCATTTTTTAAATCTTTCTTCACTCTGGATGGAGGAAATATTATAACTGTTGGCTCTGACACTGGAAGATGGTTGTACACAATGTATTCTGGACAATTGTCTTGAATGTAGTTGTATCTAGCACAGTGTAATCCAAAGTGTAGATAGAAAAGCTACATCACTTTTGTACTTTTGGTTACAAAAGAAAAACTAAAAAATGAATGGAATGTAATCATCTTAAGATACCTGTTATATTGAAGACTTGATTTTGTTGTTGTTGTAAGCAGGCTTTATAAGCTGGATTTCCATGATAAACACATTCTGTGCAATTTCTTTACGTATAGTTCTAATTATGGATAGTGTGATTAGGCAGATTGCAGCTGTGTGTTTTCTACTTTGTATATTTTGTGATATATATAAAGTGGGTGGGGTGGAGGCAAAAGATCTGTTCCTAGAATCATAGAAATGTAGAATTGGAAGAGACCTCAATAGAGGACCTCATCTAGTCCAATGTCTTGCACTGAGGCAGGACTAAGCATTATCTAAACCATCCCTGAGAAGTGTTTGTCTAACCTCCTTAAAAATCTCCAATGACGGAGATTTCACAACCACCTTAGGTAACTTGTTCCGCTTAACTACCCTGACAGTTAAGAAGTTTTTCTTAATATCTAACCTAAATCTAACTTTTACTGCAGTTTAAGCCCACTACTACTTGTCCTGTCCTCAGTGGTTAAGGTAAACAATTTATTGCCCTTCACTTTACAACAATCTTCTATGTACTTGAAGACTGTTGTTCTGTCTCTTCCGCGCCCCTCCTCCCTCAGTTGTTTAGTCTGGAAAAGAGACAAACTCAGTTTTTTCAATCTTTCCTCTTAGGTCATGTTTTCTAGACATTTAATCATTTTTGTTGCTCTCTTCTGGCCTTTCACCGATCTGTCCACATCTTTCCCAAAGTGTGGTGGCCAGAAGTGGACATAATACTCCAGTTGAGGCCTGATCAGTGCTGAGTAGAGTGGAAAAATTACGACTTGTGTTTAGCATACAATGCGCCTGCTAATACATCCCAGAATGATGTTCACGCTTAGAAAGTGAATGTATTTAGAAAATAAAGTTTGCAAAGCTTTATGCCTCTACATGGTAATAGATCATAATGGAACCTTGAACTTAGAAAGGATCTTGTATTTTAAATACACAAACACTTATTTTTAACCTGTTTCATAACAAAAGTGTCCCAAACTAAGGCCTTAGCATCAGTTCACAATGAATAATCAATTTGTAATTCTTTTCATATAGAATAAAGTTTAAAGACAAAGTAGTTGAAAATAAAGTGCTTTTTCTCTTTAGGCCACAGGTAGCTGCAAGGTTCTTGACTGAATGCTAAAGCAAATACTGTGTGCCAGCACTTTTATAATCCAGTGTTGTTGTTAGATTGCAGAAATAGGATTTTGCATTTCCTGTTTTAATGAAGGGGGTGGTGGGGGGGTTGGAAATACTTTTCCAAGGTTTTTATTTAAACATTCTGCCATTCTAGAAGATGAATAATTCTGGTGTAGGCATACTTCATATGACATAGTCCATCACTTTTGTCACATGGGACATTCTTTGGAAACACTGGCAATAAGAATTGAAAATAGGAATTTTCTCTTATGGTAGGTTCTGTAATTGTGACTGTATTAGGGAGTGATGGTTATATAATTGCTATAAATTGCAATCATGTTAAAGTTTCTGTGCTAATCTGTCATTGTAGTAGGTCTTGGTTGGTGGACTATTCTGCTGCTCAAGTAACTTCTAGCAGAATGTTCATACATTTTATTATTTAAATCACTTTCTGTTTTTCT